CTAGGGATTGACGTGGTTCACAAACAGAGTTAGCTGTGCTAGATGTGGTTAAACCAGGGTACATTGATTTGCACCCTGTGGCAAGAGTGTTGTTAATAATTGCAAGAGGTCTGTGAAGGCTTTATAACTTCACATTGAGGAAGACTTCATGCCAGAATTTTACATTAAAGACTTGCAATCTAGTAATTTCTAGCAGATTAAGGAAGCATTTTCTTTAAAGCTTTTTTTCTAAATTGGAAAGCTGTATTGAAAAAGCTAAACAAGCAAGTAACTGACTTGGAAAACAACTTCAGCTTTTTAGCAGTGCATCTGTCCTTTTCCATAATCAGCAAAACTGATGGAGGTTAACAATGATCTCAAATGTGCATTTTATGCTAGTTCTGTTAGAGCGAAATAACAGAAATCATTTGGAGAAAGGTACTTAGTTTCAAAAATGTATAACTCTAAAGGATCTGAGGAAGCACTAAGAAATACATAAGAATATAAATACTGTTTTATAGGTTAAATGGGTTACATTTTTTGCAGGCTTCAATATTTTTTCCACTCTGCACCCCCTTGAGGGTTGTATTTTTTCCACTGTGTTTTACTGTTTTTAAAACACCCAGACAAAAAATGAAGTTTGAAGGCTAGAATCACTAGCCTTGCTTTCAAACCACAGTGTGCCTTTATCTGTTTTGTACCATGAAACTCAATCCTAGTACTTAGAATTGAGGGTGGAGACAAATAACTCTGAATTTCTTTAATTCACTTCAGCCATGACCTTAACTTTCAATATTTCTTCAAAATGAAGGGATTTTCAGGGAATCAATATAGGAATACACTGTCGTCAGCTTTGTACAATAAGTATTGTTGGTATTTAGTCTTTGTATTAAACAATCACTTCCAATCAAAAAAGGCTTTCTTAACTTTTGTTGTATTGTGTCTAAGAACCTTGTATTGTGACCTGCCATATCGTGACCATTTTTTGAAAAATTAAATTTTTTTTTTGCATTACAATTCTATGAACTGTTCTTTATTTTCCGTATGAGGTGTTGCATTTAATGCAAAGCTCAAAAGTCTGCTTCCAGCTCTCTGTACCTATGTGCTAGTAGGTGTATCTTCCACAGGAAAGTGTGAAGATAATGAACAGCTTGGGAAATTAACACTATGCTCCATATCAAAGCAACTCTTGGGCTCTGGGCTAGGAAAGAAGCTCTTGTGTTAATTAAAACTAAGCTTCCCTCTTAGTCATTACAGAACCTTTTCCATGTCTCCCACTTAAATTTTAGTGAGCTGGGTAGGTATTGAATGCATCCTGGAATTGTACTGGCAGGAGCAAGAAGGCAATTATTACCCTCCCAGCTTGGCACATACAACTGTCATGCAGCTAAACTGCCAAAAATAATGCTGCTTGTGGTAAATCATCAATGTGTTTCAAGTGCTACATACTGTGTTAGCTTAAAGATGTCATTTCTCTTGGAGTGTTAGGTGATACCTGAGGGCTTTTTGTGGGAACCTGGGTTTGACTCCATGTTTTGAGGATCAGGAGAAAAAAAAACACAAACATGCAACTAATGTTACATATTCAAGTGCTAGCTTCCTATATTTCAAAATAAAAACCTTTCTAGCAGGCTTTACAGAACTGCTGTCCTTTCTTCTTGGAGATGAAGCAACTGAAAAACAAACAAACCAAACAAAAAAAACCAACCACAACCAACAAACTGGTGGCTTGCCTGTTTCCAGGTGGGCAGTGTTAGTAAAATATTGCATATGACTCTTGTAACTGTTGTTCCATGCTTCAACAGATCACTGTATTTTGTTTTTGTGGCAACTTATGGTAGTTATAATTTTATTTTTTCTTAAACCAGATTGATAGGATGCCAGTAGACTCCTCAGTATGTAGACTTTCCATCTTCAAGAATGTTCTGAGGTTCATTCTGTAATCACTTCTAGTAAGAAACTTTCTCATTTCCCTTTCCACCCCAATAAATGATGGGATTGTAGAAAACAAAATGGGAGCAACTGACTAATTCTACTAGCAAATACATGTCTGAAAATCCTGAAAGCAGGAGCCAGTGCATGTCATGGTATGGGTTGTTTATATCAAGGATATAAACTGTGGGTATTTCTGGATATCAGTAATTGATCAAGCTCTCCTGCTTTTTTTTGCCTTGTTGGGTGGGTGAGTCCCTCAAATGTTCAAGTACAAGTAATGCATTTCCAAGAGAGAATGCAAAGACTATGCAGTTTTCTTACTGCTAGGATGGAGCTGACATCTGATGTAGGCTGTGGCAGTAGGGGAGGATTTGTATTTCATTGTTAGGAAGAAGCAAGCAGTGATACTACAGTGCTATACACTTGTAGGATACAGCAATGTCTCAGGAATTTGTCTGGAGAAGTCACCATCTGGAATTGTGTGAAGAGTTTATTCCAGTCCTCTATTGCTAGGATGTGTAGGTGAAGGGGGGGCAGTAGCAACACACTCCGGGGCTGGACAGACTCTGAAAGGGCTTAGGCATTAACTCAGTCTTGTGTGTTTAGTAAGTGAACTGTTACATCTTGGTGCTTCCTTATGTTCCTCCATTTATGTGAAGATCTGCTCTTTTTTTTTCTCTCCAACCTTTAATGGATTGAGTGTGTTCTCTGCTTGGCCAGAGATGGCTAAAAGACTTTCAGGTGGTATGGATATGCAAGCCAGATGTATTTAACTCTTGGAGAGATGGAGATGAGAGAATGAAAATTGGTCTACCAGCATAAAGAGGAGAAAGGAATAATTGCTCAAAGTGACGGGAGGTTTCTGGGAGTTAATTATTACTACTTAGCCCAGCATGGGTATTGTGAAGCTATTTGAAAGTATTGCTTGCTAGCAGGCAGTTACAACAGTGTAGTGCTTAACACAGTGAGGTATTAGTCTATGGTTCTCATGGGCATGCTGTTAAACAGGTGAATTTATTACTTGCTGTTGCTTTTCTCCTTTTATAAAATATTATATGTAAATCTACTTGCTACTATTTATAAAACTTACAGAACTCTGAATAAAACTTTTCTTTCCACTCCCTTATACTTTCGTATCTTATGTATTGCAGAACCAGTATTCTCATCAAAAGACATTGCAAAGCAGCTAATGAGATTAGTATTTGAAAAGCATGCAAGGATGGAAACAATGGGAGGTATGTAGTAATGCCAGTCACAACAAGCTCACTGGCAATGCAACTTGGAAATCTTGCATCAGCATTAAGGCTGA